AAAAGGGGAGTGGCTTTGTAAGTAGAAATTTTACATTTTAATGAGATTGTGTTTTTCAGTCATTTGTGCTTTTGATGTATTGTTTAAGAAATCCTTTCCTATATTGGGATCATAAAGATATTTTCCTGTATAGGGACAGAGACTTTATGGCCCACAAAACCTAGAATATTTACTCTCTGGTCCTTTACTGAAGAAGTTTGGTGGTGTTTGCTCTGAAGAGTCTCTTAATTGAGAGTTGCTGGTTTTTTCGCTTGTGGAACATATGTCTATCTTGTTAGAAAATATTTGACTTCAATGTCAACTAATAACAAGGTAAAATAGTTCTTATAGCTTGCCATTAAGAATATTTTGTAGTTGCATTCAGAAAATAATGCACTTAGAGTGCTAATTTGTAATTTTTTAATACTTTTTTTAATGGAGTTACTGGGGATTGAACCAAGGATCTCATGCATGCTAAGCACGTGTTCTACCACTGAGCTATTACCCTCCCCTCTAGAGTACTAATTTTAGTTGTTTAACTCATGAGTGAAACTGGTATTGTTAAATTCAATAATACACTTCGTAGAACAATTCAAAAGTGAAGGACTCATTGTCAGTGAGATGAAGTGACCCTGGCTATTGTCGTCTACTTGGCTTGATATATCAGGAATTCTAATGTTTCTTGAATGAATGAATGAGATAATTCATGTAAAGTGCTTAGCACAGGGACAGCCTTAATAAATGATAGTTATTAATAATGAATATATCAGGATATGTGTCTGTAACTCACAGTTAAAGTAGCCCAGATATTAGCATAACAAGATGATTTTTCTTTTTGTTCTTGAAAAAAAAACAAATTGTCCTGTACTTTTTCTTTTAAAAGCTAACCTTTTTATTTTGAGGTGACTTTCTGATATGTGATGAACTTCAAATTAGAGCATCAATTTAGCATCTGTCAGATAAATAAAATATGGTGCATGGATCCAGTAACTTGGTTTAGAGACATTAGTCACATTCCATCAATTAAAAAGAATTTTAAGTCACAGTTATGTGCAAAATACCATGCTCAATGAATGAGTTATATAAAGAAATGTAAGACGTAGTTTCTCTCCTCAAGGAATTTGCAGTGTGGTTGAAAGACAACATGCACATACGGAAAGTTACAGAAAAGTATGTTATTGTTTCATGGACCTAGTTTTCCCTTTATTTCATACAAATAAGCTTCTTTTTGGTCTCTTTTCCTCTCTTCTTCTTTATGTACTTATTTTCCATATTGAATGTATCCTTTTATGCCTGCTTTTAGAATTTGGTTCATAGCTTCCTTTTAGATGCTCCCCTGATGTATGAATTCACAAAGTAACTTCTCTGGCAGTGCAGTAGTTTCTAACTGTTCCTGTATTATTTTCCATTTTTAAGCTTATTTGGTGACTATGCTCATTTTTATTTTTCGAGTATTTAGGCATAATAATTTTCATTGTTGTGGGAGAGGCTGGAGAAAGCTATGTCACTTTAGAGATTGATGTTGTAGTATCTTAATCTACTTGACCTTCTAATTACAGCTTTGTGAAAGGAACAGTGACAAGGCCTCAAGTTGGCCTTTCAAGGTCAAATATTATATTCCTTCTTCATCCTTTCAAAAAATTTAAATATATTTCTCTATATAGTAGGACAAGGGAGGGAATAGATAGAAATTGTTAGATACAAAGAAAAATTTCTAAAATCCTTGGTTGCTGTACTTCTAAGAACAGTTTTGGCTTTTGTAGATTTGAAATGTGTTTTTGAACTTTTGACTCCTGCATGTGGAAATAATACATCTACATGGATCTCCTGTGTTCCTCTTTAAAGGATAAAAAATTTTTTTTTTTTGCTGTTATTTTGGTTAGGTTTTCTTGCCTTTTGTTCAAGTAAAGAACTCTAGACAGTTTCTAGCTATGAGAAAAAGCTAGAGACCATCTCCTGAAGTTTGGTTCTGCCATACAGCGTAGCTACTTACAGATCTTAGAGATTACAGGTTTGGGAGCCCATGTGTTTTATCTTTCTTGACGTTCAGATATATTAGATAAGAGAGAATACTTTTTAGTTAATTCTCCAGTTTATTCTCCAGTTTCCTAGTACAATCTCTGTAAATTTAAAGAGCAGAAGCAAAAGGAAAACATCTCTATGAAAGATAAACCTGATCGTTCATTAGCAGGAGAAATACTAAATGAAAACAAAAATACTTAATTTTGTTCATCTATTGTTTCAAGACCTCTAGGTCAAAGGGTTTCAGAGAGAGGCCAGAAAGTGTTAGCCTGCTTTGGACTGGAGGGTACTGTGACTTCCTGTCATTGCTATTTTCAGGATTCTTTCTAAGTTTTCTTACCGAATTGAAAGTTGCTGATTTTGGTACAAATAACTTTCTTTCATTACTAAATAAATATCTTTTTGAAGCCTCTCTTCTATTGTCACAGTCCGTTTTTCCCATCTTCAGATATGATTACACCAGATCCTTTAAATGGAAATGTCAATAGATCACTTCTGAAGAGATAATTCCTCTTTAATATTGCAAATGAAAAAAAAATGGGCTTTCTTAATTTCCATCTTCTCTACGTGCCAACCCACCCACTGAAAAAGCATCTTCTTGAGGAATCACCCTTGAATTCATAGATGGTATAATTACTTCAGAGCACCTTAAGACTTAACAAACAAAAAACATTTTAAATGTAAAGTTAGCCATGGTTTATAATTTTCTCAATTATGGAGTGAAAAACAAATTTAAGCCACTTAAATAAAGCTGCTCTGATGGGAAAAGCTTTCGGAAACTAGTTCTTATCTTTTGCTTTTGTTAGTATAGCTACTAGCATAACATTTTAACATAAGCAGATTCCTTTTTAAAATTACTAGCGCAGGTACCCCTTTTGAAAATTAGAACGTTTGAATACAAAGCAGCAAGGTATCAGACTACAGAGTATCATCCCTTTTTACTTGAAAAAAATATGGAAGATACGTTTGTAAGAAGGTCTGCGAGTTATTTCTTGTGGAGGTTGACTTATTTTGCATTTTTCTATTTGTATGTTTGAATTTTTTGGTTAAAAAATAATGGATTAAAATAAAAGGAGTAGGTGATAAAGCTTTAAGTGGAATTCATGTTGCAAAGTGTTATATCAAAAAGTAGGTTTTCCAAACCTTGAGAAAAGACCACTTTATTGGATTACTTTTATGCTTGAATATACTATATCATATAGTATGTAACAAAACATTGAGCCCTAGCATTCTAATATTCAGAATGAATTTAACTGTGTCATAGGGAAGAGATACAGTATAATTGAGTAAAAAGATTTAAAGTATGAAAAAGTGAACTAATTCTGCTACCTATAGTTACCTTAATTAATGTGAACAATGCAAAAGCCAAAAAAGAATTCAGTCAGAAATATCATATAATTTGCATTCCATTATCTGTGTGACCATAAATTGTTGGGTATTGCAACATATGTAACATAAACCACATGTCAGCTGTTTCCTGCCTCGCTGTTGACAAGAGCCCCATTCATAACTCTTCTTTTTATCCTTTCAGTGAATAAGTAATTATTCAATATAGAAGGCAGGATATTTGGAACTGGCTATTTAATGTGGCAGCACTCTGTAATGAAATCTGCTGTTACTGGCAACTTGAGAGGGGAATGTAACAATTCCAGCATGGTTGTAACTTTATCTGCTTTGACTGACTGTTTATTTGGCACATCAGTGAACCTTTTATCCCCGTGAGTGACAGCTCCAGAAGGGTCACATTTACATCCATTCTATCATGTATTGTAATATTTAATGGCAGACAAGGTTGAGCGAGACAGAGTAATTCGAACTTGCCTTTCCACTGAGTTGAGGCTAAAAGACAGCCTGGTCCCCAGGATTGTGGTGTAACATGCTGTGACTTAGCATTTGTTTATGAAGGCTAATCTTACTGATTATAATTAAAAAAAAAAACTTCAGTTAAATGGTATATTTGTTCTACTAAACTAAAACTCTAGTACAAATTTTCTTAAGCTACTGTGCTATTTTATTTTGCTTTTTTTCCCCGTCAGTGACCGTTCCTACAAACTAACCATTTCATAGTATTTCTTTTAAATGAGGCAGCATTCTGTCTCAGTTGTAGAGTAATTGAGGTTCAGAAGTGAGCAGTTTTTAAGAACCCATGGGTTCTAATAAACAGCATAAAGCTTTTTTTTTTATTTTTGAAAGTTTTGGAAACAGGAGGAAAAAAGCAGGTATATTAAACTATATACTCCTGATGTTCCAAATGGTGTACTTAAGGAGACATTTATATAACTGTTTTAATTATGAAACTGAAATAAGAGTAAAATTGTCCCGAAAGGCTATCCTGAATGAGAAGTTACCGATGGATTTACATTCCGTGACAGGTAATTGAATTTCAGATATACTTGTTCCACACAAGCAACCTGCCTTCATTATTAAATATTAATAGTTTGCATTCATTTTTATATCTGTACTACAGAATAATTTCCTCGTTTTGTTTTTTAGTGATGCTTTAGATTCAACTTGATATTTCTATTCTTTTATGAGCTATATTTAAAATGCTTTAAAAATATTGCTATATTTAAGATATTTGATTGGGCTGTGCTGTGAACAAAAATAGCACTATCAATTCTAAACTGTAGTATCACAAGGTTACTTGAAGCCTAAGCAGAAATGAAAACCATCCTCCATTTTGTGTTATTTTTATAGTGTACAGAAGAGGAGAATTAAAGTATACTTAAAACATTTGGAATTTGAGAGTTGTAGTGTGTTAGAAACCAATGCAAATATGGAAACATCATTTATAACTTTTAAGAGTGAAAAAGAACCAATTTGAAATTGAATTTGTAGTTTTTTTCTTCACTGGCAAGTTTTAGATGATGAAACGGCTTGAAATTTCTCTTTATTTGATAGTTGTGATTCACTATTTATAGTTTTGATTCCGTGAGAGGTTTGGTAACAATTTTTATGGTAGTCCAGACACTAGTTATCTTTTCTTTCCTTTGTTACAGCCCCCTGGTCAGTGTTCTAGGTGCTGTTGTTCTACTAAACAAGGAAACAGTCAAGATTCTTCAAATACCACTAAGAAGGATCATGGGGGGAAATTCAAGATACCCAAAATATATTTTGGGACACGCACACACAAGCAGATTGCTCAGATTACTAGAGAGCTCCGGAGGACCGCATACTCAGGGGTCCCAATGACTATTCTTTCCAGCAGAGATCATACTTGTGTCCATCCTGAAGTAGTAGGTAACTTCAACAGAAATGAAAAGTGCATGGAATTCCTGGATGGAAAAAATGTAAGTAAAGTTCATTTATTTTAAAGAAAAAATTAGACTGAAAAGATTAAAATTATTCAGTTTTTAATGTGTTCATTTTATTTTTTATGTGTACATTTACAGTGATAATCAAGTAACTTATGAAAATCAAATTAATTGCTAGTGTTGATTTTTTAAAAGTTAATTTTATCATAAGAAAATCTTTATTCAAGTTTAAAATTATGGGCTTAAATTTTTGGTCCTAAAGCTTGGGGGTATTTATTTAATTCCTTGAAAATTAATTTCCATTTTAGTCAGATATCTTCTTATTTTCTTCTTTTAAATCTTTCTACCAAAAATAATTAAACATGAATGTTATATGAGGATATAAGTGTATTTAAATGATTTACTCAAATTAGATCTAATTAATATGTTTTACATATTTAAAACCTTCAGAATGAGATAGTTTACTTAGGCTCTCTCTGAGTAAATTTTAAAATGTTTTTTAATTGGATTAGATGTATAATGACTATACTGTCTCATAATTCTGATTAGTACAAACTTTTCTTTCAAAAATTAAATTACTATGGAAAGATATGTTTTTTATGGTTTTAAAGTTTTCAAGGAAAATCTAGAATAATACGAATTTTGGCTAGGTGGAAACAAAGAAATCTTTCTTACTAAAGACTTGATTTTTTAAATAATATTTTGGCAGTATTAGTTTGGTAGCCTGTGTACCTATTTGATAACTAGTTTACTCTAAAATTGAAGTTTTACAAGTCTGGAATTATACCCAGAAATTATTGGTGAACCATAAACTGGTAGTGCATGAAATGACCAATGATATTTCAATGTATTTTGAAAGTTGTTCTATCTTTCACAAGTATTTTGTCAAACATAGTTATTTCTACACAAAAGGCTAATAGCTATAGCTTCTAGAGTTTCATCTAATTGATATATATCACCTCCTACCATATAAATGTGAATAGATTATTTTGTATTATGCTTTTCTTTCTCAGTGCTTTCTTATTAGATGGAAATTTATTCAAGCTTTATTTGGAGTTATTCAAAAGATGCTTCAGTAGATATTCAAACATGAGAATATAAAGAATAAGTACTAAGGGGCTTCAATGAAAAAACTTAAGTGACTTATTCAGAGCCAGGAAAATATACAGAATTATTGAATCCAGACCACTGTTGAAGTTCTCTGAGCATATCTGTTTCCATATAAGTTCTTTTTAACTAACTGAGGAACTGTGAAATGTTTTCAGTCTGGATATTTAAAAAGTTCTATTCAAGGAGAGATGAAACATTAAAATATCAAATGCTAAAAAAAAATAGAGAAAAGGCTCTTCATAATAAAATTCTATAAATTTTATGGTTAAGTAAACTTGTTTCGGTGACTGATACAACTGAATTCCTCAAATGCTTGCAATTTGTTTTTTAGCTATAGTGCAAGTCTATGCAAGAAGACTTACTGGCGCTGTCATTATCTTTTTACTACTTGTTATTGAGAAAATTATTATGTAATTTATTATGAATTTTCATCTCATTGGTAAAACCAATTATAAAATTTGATTATGTATTGAAAGCAAATAGTCTTATTTTATGTAATCCTCTAGACTCCTGCAGTGCTGGTTATGTTTTTTGATTGATCTTTACTCTCATAAGTTTGAGTCACGTAAAAATAAAAATCCAATAGCTTTGAAAGTTCAGAATTTTTCATTGGCCTTTAGTTTCTGTTTTAATGTAGACAAGTCTTTTATTTTTGAATATTAACAATATAAATAATGGAATATTTCTCCTTGTGGTTGTTTTGAGCTAATTCTGCCTCAGAATGCCTAGCACATAGGAGTACATGAACATTCTTTTTCTTGTTCTCAAGCCCTCAGGGTAATTTGGTATTGTAATGAGGGCCAATTACAAAGTTTCTAAAGGTGTCTATGTTTACTGTGGCTGAATTACCAAACCGAAATGATAAATGGATAACCGACAGTTTGAGTGAAAAAGAGTTTATAAAGTGTGATAACGCTTCAATTGACAGACTCCCCTCAGGGTTGTATTACACTGCTAAAATGGATGAGCTTTTCTGGTTTTGCTATCAACCTGCACAAGAGTGTCATTCTAAGTGCCCTTAAAGTGTAAACTTTCTGATTTTTTGGCTTGATCCAAAGGCACATGTGTTTTTGTTCACTGTTTCTTTTATGCTCCTGTACTGGAAAAGCGATGCACTTACCTGCTAAAAGTTAAATTTTGTTTCAATTAAGAAAAAAATAATCTTAACTAGCTCTAGAAATAATTCTAAAAGTTATTTTAGGTATGAAAGAATATCTATTTTTTGTTGAGATTTAACAGACCATAACTATAGACTCTAAAGGCACCTTAGTTAACATTTTGTAAAATATATAAGCTTTCAGAATAGTGTGGAAGATACTTGGACTGAAGAAATGGTGAATGTCGTATTATTAAACTCATTCTGTATCAGACTCAGTATGAAAGATACTTGGCATATTTCCACCTGTCTCTGGACCCCAGAATCATAGATTTCAGAGCTGAAAGGAACCTTAGAAGTGGTATAATCAATGAGTCCGAGGAATCTTTAAAGGTTTCTGGTTTAACTACTCTTTTGATGCCTCGCCACGTGAGAACAATGGACCTTGAAGGTTGCCCAATGTCAGACAATTAATTAGCAAGGAAGGAGGCAAGTTTTCCAACTCCTAACCATTGCTATCTTTACTACAGTAGAAACAAAAATAAAAGATGGCATCATGATGTGAGGATGCTGACATGGCACGAACGATAAAAAAGAGTAGTAGAGATTAGCCAAAGTAACTGAAAATAATATAGAAAATAAAGCAAATAAATAAGGCTAGATGAAATTTTCTCCTAATTTTTATTTTTAATACCTTGGTGGATCAACAGGTGGCTTCCCCTAACACAACTGAATACAAAGCTTTAGGAGAACTAGTAGCCCTTAGCTGATCGTGCCTTCTTGTCCTTGGATTTGCTGACGTGCTTTTATAGGTTATGAACTCTTTATGCTTTATTCTATTTCTAGCAATTTCTAGGTTTTTGTGTAATGATGTGTGAATGTTTTAAAAACAGAGATTTGCCCTTTGCATAGTTCATAGATAAAAATATATATGAGTGTGTGTGTGTGTGTGTGTGTGTGTATATAAATCTATACATATATCTATATATAAACCTATACATATATACACATGCACATATATGTATGTTCCCGCCTCCCCCTCACTAGGTAAGTACAGCAAACTGGAGAAGACAAATATTGGATTTCAAAATGACGTATAATTTTTTTATTGATGCACAGAATTAATAAATATTAAAATGCCTTATTATTCCACCATTTATTCTCAAATGACGATTGAAAAAGAAAAGTAACATATACGTGGTTAGACACTCACAATTACAGAAAGGCATTCAATGAAAAGAGAAGATCTCTCTTTCCAGCTCTTTTCCATCCCCTTAAACTTTCAAGGAAACTACTGTAGCATTTTAAGTGTATTCTTCTAACTTATTTAAAATATGTATTTTCTATAATGTGTACATATTATAGTCTTTTAAAAGCTTAAACACATCAGCACATAGACAAATCTAACTCATTTTTTAAGGGTTATATGTTTGCTATATATTTGCTAGAATTTATTTAACATATCCCCTGTTGGTAGACATGTGGCTTATTTCCAATTTGGGGGCTATTAAACAGTGTAGTATATATTTTTACATTAATGGTGAAAATTTTGTTTTGTAGTTACTGACAAATTTCCTATGTACTTCTAGTAGGAGTAGAAGTTTTACTTCTACTCACTTTATATACCTTTTAACAGGATGTGACACACCTTTCCTAGGATTGGATTTTATCAAACATCTTAGTTTTTGATTTGTGTATGTTAAATTTTTTTTACTTCCTATAATTGAATGACAAAGGACATTAGTAGATAGTACATGAAAGAAGTGCAGTTTTGTGCAAATTACTGCTGAAACTTGTTAGAATGTTCATACAATGTAAGGTTAAATCTTGCCTAGAAAGCATAAAAAACATAAATCAAAACAAGGAGATTCCATTTTTTACCATTAAAATGCACAAAGATAAGAAAAGAGAATATTAGAGTTGGTAAGGTATGGAAAAAGGGTAATGTAAAATGGTATGCATTTTCTGGAGACTGGTGGTATGGATTTCAAGCAACTTAAAAACACTTGTACTCTCTGATCCCTAAATACCCTCTGATCTAAAAATATATACTTAGGAAATATTTAAAAATAGGCATAAAGATGCTCATTACAGCATTATTTATAAAGCAAAAATTATGAACAGTCTATATGCCCAATAGTAATCCAGTGTATATGTGTAGGCAACAATGAAAAAATACTTAGTGATATGAGAAAATATTTCTGATAGGATTTTTAATCAAATTGGGTAAGAGAAGAAAGTGATCCCAGTTTTGTAAAAAAAGTTTACTTATTTTGGCTAAATGGTAAATAATCCTCAATGCCGAGGGAAAATTTGCTTTGTTCTCATTATTTTAATATTGGGTCGCATTGTAGAGATATATCCATATATACATATGCATAAAAGGAATATGAAATGAAATACATCAGAATGTTAATAGTTACATTCTTTGTATGATGGGATTATAGATAATTTAGAGTTTTTTGGAACTCTTGTACTGTCCAGATATTTTGTAGGGAACACTCTTACTTTTTTGTTTCTCCCTCCTCTCCCTTTCTCCCTTCTTCCTTTCTTCCATCCTTTGTTTTCACTTATTTATATTTGATTAAGTAATACCATCTCAGTGACTCAAATTGAAAAGGTACAAAAGTGTCTGTAGAGTAAAACCTCTCCCAGTCCTGCCCCCAAGTCATCTGGGTCTCATCTTTGACAGCAACTAGTGATACCATTGTTGCTCTTGGGTATCCTTCCAGAAATACTTTTGCCTAATAGCACTTAATCAGACTTTTTTTTTTTTAAAAGACATTTTATTTCTATAATTGCTAATTTTACTTAGAATTTCTGGAAACATTAGTAAAATAATAAATTTTATCTGAAAGAACAAGCAAAATAGACAAGGAAATTCACTAAGGGCAATAACAAAATAGTAATCTTGACAGATATTCAATATATTTGTAAACAAAATAAAGTGACATTGCCTTAAAAATATGTAGAGGTATCAATAGAAAAACAGAAAACTCCTGAAAGAACTCAACTCACTATTCATTGTCTTTTGGTTACAGACACAGAAACTGACAACAAAGCTACAACAAACATACTTTTAAAAATATGTTTCTCAAGTTAACTTGGGGTATCTAGAGCTTATGCTGATCTAGAGCTCTATCTGAGTCAACTAATATAGTTATTCTAAATGATTGTGTTATAGATGTGTTATACTCTGTCTCTTTTGTAAAATCTTGTGTTGTGACTTTAATATTTCTAAAATTCTGAGATAAACTTGTTTCATTTCCTCTGTTCTAGTATTGGTTCACATTTCAGCTGTGTGTGTTTGTTTTTAGGGGAAATCCTGCTATTTTTATCACGGTGTTCATAAAATTAGTGATCAACACACATTACAGACTCTCCAAGGGATGTGCAAGGCCTGGGATATAGAAGAACTCATCAGCTTGGGGAAAAAACTAAAGGCATGTCCATATTACACAGCACGAGAACTAATGCAAGATGCTGACATAATATTTTGTCCTTACAACTATCTTCTAGATGCACAAATAAGGGAAAGTGTGAGTAGATATGTAAAAATTAAAGGGACTTTTGCCTACTTATTGGGGTATACATGATGAATGTAAAAAGCTTTTAGATGTTTTAATGTCTTTCACTTTATTTTTTGCTTTATGTTTATGTAAGTGTATAAACAGATTATATTCTAAGGTGTTTTTAAAAACTGAATTTTAGACACCGTCATTTTAATTTTTGAAGGAATAAGTACCTTTAAGGACCTAGTACTGAAGTAGAATTATAACAGGGTTTTTCAGCCTTGACAGTAATGGCATTTGGGGCTGGGTAATTCTTTGTTATGGGCTATGTTGTACATTGCAGGATGTTTGTTAGCATCTCTGGTTTTATACACTAGATGCCATTATTACCCTCACAGTTGTCACAATCCAGAATGTCTCTAGACTTTGCTAAATATCCCCCGGGGTGCAAAATTGCCCCCATTTGAGACTCATTTAACCCATTCATAACTATCACTTTATGAATAGTCAGAATTACTTTAAAACATTTATCTGAAGTATTGTGTTTTGAAGAATTTACGTCAGGAGAATATGCATACTATGCAAATTATGCTGAACTTTGAATAAGTGAACTTTGGATACAGCATTTGCGTTTATTTGCCTGGTTCTTAGAGACATCCAGTTGTTACAGCATAAAACGAAAAATGAATCTGGTGTATTCAATTGTTATTTCTCTCTTTAGATCTGACTGCCCAACTCTCATTAGCTTTCTATAAGTTCGAAATTAATAGGCATTATGTTCAATACACCTACTGTCCTCTTATTTGGTTGCCTTTTAGCTAGGTCTCTTTCCTCTGAGCCACTCCATGTATCAGTGCCCGGTCAGCCTTCCTAATATTACTTTTGCATCTTTCCTATGGCTTAAAAATCTCATTTCTTTCTTTGCTCATTGGATAAAGTCCTTATTTCTTAAGCTTACTCCCAAAATGATCAGTAGTCTGACCTGAATCTGCCTTTTCAGCCTTGTCTGTACAGACTCCCAAATTGAACCCTTAAAAAAAATTGCCTCAAGGTCCCCTGAGGATACCTTGTTCTTTGCCATATCTCTGCTTTTTATGACATATGGAAATGCCCTACTCTTTCTTTGTCTATCCAATCCAAATCCTACTCATCTTTTAGACCCTAATATATTTCTCCCATGGTTCTTTCTCAGTCATCTACAGCCCTTTGTATATTACTGTTTCTTCAGAATAACTCAATGGCAATTGCTTTGTAACATTTTGTATTGGTCAGGATTCTTTCAAATACAGTTGACACAAACCCAGCTTCAACAGAGCTTAAGAAAAAATACTTGACTGACTCCTTTATGTCTTTATTCTCAGGCAGATTCTTCCCAATGGGAACAAAGATAGCTTTAAGCTGCTAGCTTTTTTCTAGCTAGGTAACCTGGAAAAAAGAACATGATTTCATATTAGTCACTCAAAATTAACTCTGGCCTATCTTGGATCTCATATCCATTCTTAAACCAGTCTTCGTGACCACAGAGGGATGGATACTTTACTTAATTGACAAGCCTGGGTTCTGAGCCTACCCATGGCATGAGAGTGGTGATGTCCCTTGATAACAGATTAACAGTCCTACCAACGTCATATGGGAGTTGAGGAAGAGAAACGCTTAAAATGAAGAGTTGCAGGAAAGACTGAAATGAAACAGATACATACTGTATTATATTAGTATTTTGAGTCTTGAATATTGTATTGTTATCTTCGTTTTAAAAGTTTTTATTATGCTTTTAAAATTATGTTGGAGATCTCTTCATAGTGGGATTTTTATAACCCTTGGTGTAGACAACTATATCTTGATCTTGGCTCACTTAACATATATTATTTGGTTGATAGGCTTGCAAAGTATTTTGAGAGTGAAAAATGGAAAACTCTGTGATGTTGAGCTGCTATTTGTCTGGCCTAAGTGCTTGAAAAGTTTTAAGACTGAGAATCAGTTGCTTATATAGTTGGACTTGTGATATTGGCCTGCAGTGTGAAATTTTAAATGAAATATCTTGCCTATTGCTGTTAAATCCATTTTGCTGAATGTTTTACAGGAGAACTCTTTTATCTTCTAGATGGATATCAATCTGAAAGAACAGGTTGTCATTTTAGATGAAGCTCATAACATTGAGGACTGTGCTCGGGAATCAGCAAGTTACAGTATAACAGAAGTCCAGCTTCGGTTTGCTCGGGATGAGCTCGATAGTATGGTCAACAACAATATAAGGAAGAAAGACCATGAACCCCTGCGAGCTGTGTGCTATAGCCTCATTAAGTAAGAACATATGTCTTTCAGTGTCATTTGTGCTGCCTTTGTATTAAAAACATGTCTTATGATGCCAGAGTATTTTACAATTAGTAAACTGTGACCAGGCCACTTGGGAAGTGGATTGTTCCTTGCCAGTTAAACTTAAAGATAGGCTAGTCCAAACTTTTGTCTTCTTCAGAAGAATATAATGAACATATTGATCGTTTTAAAACTGATAATTGTGAATCTTATTCCTATTTTAACAGGATAATTTAACAGGCCGATAGGATGTATATAGGATAATGGGCTGAACGTAAACTAAACATGGTATTAATTAACGTATTTTAAAATTCTGGGTCATGGCTTTAATTTATCACTTTATCCTACAATTTGAGTAGGATTCTGGTTTGAATTTCATTTAACTGAGATTTCAATACTGTAATTTTATTGAAATTTACATTAGATAATTTCCCTTTCATTAGCCTTTACATTGTTGATCTAGAATCTCTTTACCTTAGGAAAAACTTCCCCTGACCATTTACCACAGCGTTTTTCAGTTCCCTTCTGTGTTTTTTTTTTTAATTTGAATGTTATATGCTTACATGTTTGAACAAAAAAGATTTACAAATTTATGCTGTAAAAACCTCCTGCCCACCCATCCCCCATCTGCTTTCTTTCTGTCCTCCTGAACAAGTTTATCATTTAGTGCATATTTTTACAAAAATGAGCCAATATCGATACTTTCTCTTATCTCTCCTTTTTACCCAAATGAGGACATGGTATACATACATTTTTTTTTGGTCTTCTCCATTTAAAAAATATACTTTATTTTGTAAAAACCAGTTTAGTGAGGTATAATTGACACACACAAAGCTGTAAATATTTAATATCTACAAACTGAAGAGTTTGGAGATAATTATACATCTGTGAAACCATCACCACAATCTGTGCTATAAACATAATCATCACCTCTAGAAGTCTCCTTCTGCCTTCTTTATTATTACTTTTTGTGATAAGAACACTTAACATGAGATATACCCTCTTAGCAAATTTTTAAGTATTTAATATTGTTAACTGTAGGCACTGTACTTTATACATATATTTTCCTGTATCTTGCCTTTTTTCATTTAATATATTTTGGAGATCATTTATATCAAGACCTAGAAAGCTTTCTCAGTTTAAAAAAAAAATTGTTGCCTTGAATTTCATTACATGGATGTACTGTAATTTCTTTAACCAGCCTCTGATTTGTAGATATTGAGGTTGTTTACAATCTTTTGCTATTACATTGCTGTAATGAATAACTTTGAACATATATATTATTTCATATGTCTGAGAGTAGATCTCTAAGACAATTTTTAGAAGTGGGATTCTTGGGTCAAAGAGTAGATCTATATGTAATTTTCATAGGTAGTTCTAAAATTTACACAATAGATGAGTGAGTGGAGGACTAATTTATACTCATATCAGCAATGAGAGTCTGAATGTTTTTTTCTAGCCTGATGGATGAAAAGTGGTATCCCAGTGTACCTTTCATTTACATTTCTTTTAATATGAGTGAGATTAAGCATTTTTAAGGTCCACTTATATTTCCTTTTTTGTCACCTGTTGATGTCTCTGTCCTTTCTTTGTTCTTATTTTTTTTTACATTTTTTATTGATTTATAATCATTTTACAGTGTTGTGTCAAATTCCAGTGTTCAGCACAATTTTTCAGTCATTCATGGACATATACCCACTCATTGTCACATTTTTTTCTCTGTGATTTATCATAACATTTTGTGTATATTTCCCTGTGCTATACAGTGTAATCTTGTTTATCTGTTCTACAATTTTGATGTTCTTATTGTTATGGTTCTTTCTCTTACAGATTTGTAGAGAATTAACCCTTCGCTTTTGATAAGAGTTGTAAACACCTTTCCCCACATTTTACCACGTGCTTGTGTTTTTCCTTGTGGTATTTCTGCCATGTATAAGTTTGTCATTTTTATTTCACAGTGTAATTTGTTGAAAGAGTTGTCTATAGTTGCTAATTCTATTTTCTCACTTCCCATTTTTTTCTGATCCATCCCAGTAGTGTTGCTATCTGCATAATTCTACCAAAACTGTTCTTATCAAGGGCACAAGTGGTCCATAGATTGCCAAATGCAAATATTTTTCTGTTATTTTACTTAGTCTCTCAGCAGTGTTGGGTGTTGTGGAGTACCACCTCTGTGAAAAGGGTTTTTGTCTTAACTTCTGTGAAATAACAGAAAATATATATATTGGTCTTTGTCCCTAGCTCCTGACACAGTGCTCCTAAAACCTTTGTAATTTCCTAATTCATAAGAGTTCTAAAAGCATCTTTTGTTCTACTGCTTAGTCTTTGACCCTAGTTCCTGACAGAGTCCCTAAATCCCTTGGGATTTCCTGGGTAATGGAACTGTGTTTTGTTCTAATGCGGGAATCCTTGCTGGGCTTCTGAATGGGTCTGGTCACTAGAAAGACCAAACTATGTTTTTTTTTGTTTTTTTTTAGATTTCACATATGAGTGATATCATATGGTAGTTTTCTTTCTCTTTCTGCCTCACTTCACTGAGAATGACGATCTCTAGTTCCATCCATGTTGCTGCAAATGGCATTATTTTATTTTTTATGTCTGAGAAGTATTTAAAAACCATGTTTTAGAAGCTTGGAACTTTCAGCCCCACCTCCCCTGTGGGAAGGGGGTGAGGGGCTGGATATTGAGTTAATGTTCCATCATGCCTTTGTAATGAAGTCTTCATAAAAATACCAAAAGTACAGGATTCAGAGAGCTTCTGGCTTGATGAACCTATCTGTGTACTTGAAGGGTGGTGCACTTCACCTCCACAAGGACAGAAGCTTCTGTGCTTGGGACCCTTCTGGACCTCACCCTGTGCATCTCTTCATCTGGCTGTTCATCTGTATCTTTATTATATAATAAACGGGTAAACATAAATGTTTCCCCGAATTCTGTGAGCTGTTCTAGTAAACGATCCAACCTAAGGAGGGGGTCATGGGAACCTCCAGTGTAAAGCTTCTTGATCAGAAGCACAGATGACAACCTGGACTTTTACAATTGGCATCTGAGCTTTAGGAGGGGACGGACAGTCTTGTGAGACTGACTGCTTAACCTGTGGGCTCTGTGCTACCTCGTTAGTGTCAGAATTGAATTGAACTACAGGACACCCAACTGGTGTCTCAAGAGAATTACTTGGTGTGGGGGGAAAACCCGCATGTGTTACATGTGGAGACCAGAGGTGCTAGAAGTGAAGGAGTGAGAGCAGAGCAGCCACACAGGACTGTTTTTTCCTAGGCAGCTTCGATGACATATTCTGGTTTTCCTCCTCCTCAGAGTTCATTTTTTTCTGTTTCTTTTGATAGTTCTTACTCTGTTGGATGTCTAAATGTTGAAATGCCTCAGGGCTTGGTTTTGGAACCTCATTTCTTTTCTAGTGCTGGACTCATAACCCTTTGGAAACGCTGGTGAGGCCTGAATCTATGTCTTCCCCAACCTCTTCCTGGAGTGAATGCTATTTTCCGAGGAGTGAATGCTATTTTCCGATACCCAGCAGTGCTCAATATCTCCGTTTGGATACAAAATTTCAACTTTCCAAAACAAACCTCCTTCCCTTCCCCTACCTACTTCTCTCACCTTCCCTTACCTACTTCTCCCACCTTCCCTGTCTTGATTATCTAAGCAAATTGTACCAACCAGTTTCTCAAATCAGAAATCTAAATATTGTCCTTGATTACTGCCTCACCTCATTCAATTTACCAGTCAGTTTTATAAATGCCACCTACACAGTATATCCCACATCCTTCATTCCCACATCTGTCATCCCAGAGCCATCTCTCACCTGGAATGCTTGTAACAGCCTCTTAATAGATTTCTCCTTTCATTCTTGCCTTTCTCCTATAATCCACTCTGGCTTAGAAACTAGAATCATCTCTTAAACACCTAAAATAGATTCTCTCTCTCTCTCTCTTATTTAAAACCCTCCATTTAGAATCTTCCCATTTCACTCTGAATAGAATCCAGACTCTTATCCTGGCTCAGCATGATCTGATTCCTGCTTATCACTCTAACAGTGTGATATTATTGCCTTTTGCCCATTGTGTTGCAACTACATTGGCTTTCTTTCAGGTCTTTAAATAAGCAAAATTTGTTAATCACCTCAAGATCTTTGCAGCAAGTATTCCTTCTGCTCGGAGTACTCTTTTTTTCTGATCCTCCCATGACTGGGTACTTTTGGTATTCAGTTGTTAGAATAAATGTCACCTCAGGGAGACAATAAGGTCGCTATTTTGACATTCAGATTAAAGTAGCAATTAGATTACTTTAACCCAATTTATTGTCATTATGTCAGTGTCACTACCTGCTATTTTCTTATTCATGTAGTTGTTTCTAAATTTGTTTCTGTTTCCTTTTAGTAGATCTGTTTTCCGTGAGAATAAGGACCTTACCTATTTCATTTACTGCTGTATTTCCACTACCTAGTATAGTGTCCAACATAATGACATAGTATAGACATTTAAGCACTCATTCAATTTACAAATGTCTGTGTGTGTATAAATGAATATATTTATATGTTTTCTAGTAATTCCCTTGTGTTAATATGTAACACTGTAATTTCTTTTAGGCTTTTTTGTATTTCCTTTTATGTGCAGTTTGGGATACGCTCCTAAGACATGACTGTCAGCTGGAGAGACAGTCGAGTAAAGCAGTCAAGCCACAAAACACAATTGGGGAATCACGTGCATGTTTCTCTTTTCTGAATAAAAGCTTACTTTCTAGCTGTATATTGACTTTGCAAAAAGAAACATGCATGTTGTTTAAAAGATGTATTAATGAACCCACATTCATTTGGTAAGACCTTCAAGGGATACAAGTCATTGTATCACATTTCTCTTTGTTCTGTTGAAATAGTGCACATAAGGATGATACTGGTTGATGGAATTGCTTTATTTTATTCCAGTTGGTTAGAAGCAAACTCTGAACATCTCGTGGAAAGGGATTATGAATCAGCTTGTAAAATATGGAGTGGAAGTGAAATGCTCTTAAATTTATACAAAATGGGCATCACCACTGCTACTTTTCCCATTTTGCAGGTAAGTTTTTTTTCTACCTGTGGAAGTCATTTCGTGAATTAGAAATGATTTAATAGAGAGTGGTTAATCTAGAGTAGGTGGCAATTTAATTGTTTTAAAATTTAATTTTATTATATAAGTTTGATAATCTTTAAGTGATGTTGTAAATTATGGATGAAAAAGTAGCATTATTAGTTTGAAGGAAATAAGGCTTAAAGGAATTAATTGCTTTGTTTAAAACTAAAAGAACACTTTTAGGTTGTAAATATATTTTGTCAATTATGAAAGTTAAAAGTTTGAAAAACAAAAAGATAAGAAATTTGTATTTTATTCTCCTTAATTTAGAGGTTATAAACCTGACTGTATAGATATCATGGGTGGGATACTGTGAGCCTTATGAAATTATATTCAAAACTTTATGAGTAGGTACTTTTGTACATTTTTCTGGATAGAGGCTTCATGACATACTATTCTTAAGAGTGTCTGGTTCTTGCAGATAAGAATGTTTTTCTTGACAAGCTTCCAAGATGGCGCCGGGGGGGCGGCTGTGAGCGGCGCTC